TGACACGAGGACGGCAGATAAAGTGGTTTAGCACGCATTAGTTGTACAAGATTTTGGGCTGAAAGGAAGTTCTGGGTTAGCAGCATCTCGCATTTGTTGATGAGCTTCTTTCTTGCGCGTTTTAAGGGGTATATGACGAGAAGAAGGAACTGCCGTCGGTGTGAGATTTTTTTCAGAAACGTAGAGTATATATTTGTATGTACTTAAATAATGTCTTTTGGAAACAGACATAAATATAAATATATTTGTCTACACTTAAATATTACCCATTTAAATAAATAAACAGTGGGGACTTGGTTTTGCAAAATCTTTAAAATATGAGCTCGGTTTTGTGGAAGAAACGACTGAAAACGCAGCGCGCTAACAACTACATTATGCTGAAATTGTCCGGATGAACTGTCGACATTAGTTCCAGAATAAATGAATTTCTGCTGCTTTCTCACGGCATCTGAAAATTTTCAGAATTTGTCCTTAATGGAAGCATGGTTGTAGCATCTATACCCAGTTGTATGGAATATAATTTTTAGTGAAAAATTATGTATTATTTTGCAAAACCAAGTTTCTATTGTACATATGGAAAAAGTTAAAGTGCTTATTGGTGGACACTTGCGCAGAACAAATATGCACATGGCTGTTACTCCAGGTTGCAGACATTTCTTTTGATGTCTCAAAATTTTTTTAGACTCGCTGATTAATAGTAGTTTGAGCGCCGATCACAAAAAACTGAAAAAAGAACTTGAAAAATTTGACTTCCGGCTACTGCCAAAATTTTGCAGCTAGTATACTTTTGGGCGCGCTAAGAAACTTTGAAGACTTGCTGTGTTGCCTTTTAGGTACAGGGTACAAATTTTTCCTGACGTTATTACCCGATGAGAGTAAACTGGAACATATAGTGCTGGAGAAAGAAAATTGAGTAGAACTCATGTGTGCATTTAAAACCAAAACTTTGATGACTGGATTACAGATATACGAAGCTACTGCAGTTAAGAAAGCTCACTCCAAAAATTGTTTTTTTGATCGTCAACCTTGCTTCTCTTTTGTATACAGGATTTTCGACCCCGCCTTATCCATCTGTGAAAGACTGACAGTTGTTTATTCCTTTCTCGCTAGCTTCCTAACGATCTAATGCCAAAATATCGACTTAATCTTTCGCCATTTCACAGTGCCGCTTTCATGTTAGCAGGAAATGTAATGGCTAATGCAGTCTTTCTGCAACCGCAATTCTTGGAATCTTCAGGGAGTTTAAATCCGCCCTCATGCATTTTCTCTACCAACATCCCGAACATGTCTTGACTATTTTCTAGTTTACTTAAAAATATCTGTTTAATCTCAATCTTCTAGTAGCATACATATAACTCGACAGATAGCACGAGGTGTGTTTGTTTTGGAACTCTGCTTTTACAATTTTATAAATCTCTCTAGCTGCTCCTCACAGTAATGAAGATAAAACAAAAACCTGGGCCATAGGATCCCCACAGTTACACTTTGTCCTGTATCTCTTGTTTAAACCGTTTTCTCTTCTCTGTTATCTCGATTAAAATAAATTGTGTCTTCCATAGTTACTCCCTCTTCATTTCTGTTGGAAGTTTTTTCTTAATAATTTTTTTCAATGTTTCGATTTTTTTAAATTAGGAAACAGCTGAAAAGGTTTATGAAATGGTAAAAGAAGACTAAAGCTCTTTGAGAAGCCTTAGTCATTAAAGTACGAACACACTTATTGCTGTCTTTTGAATTCTATCCATTCAACTACAACACTGTGATTAATAAGGTGTTTTCGCGAAAACCAGAAAATAGACAAAAAAATGTAAAGACTGTGAGTAGATGAACTGCATGGAGTTGGATCTGAACTTTCACTAGGTTCCTCCGAGTGCGGTTGCAAACTGTGTGTCCTAACCATCACACCAATTAATGGTATGAAGTTGCAATTATGAAGTGACAAAAGGATTACAGCGACATTTTAGCATTAGACTGTTAGAAAGCCAGCAAGGACTGATCGGACAAGTTTGAAACCGAAACTTCCGTAGATGAATTAGGATGTGTCGGAAATCCTACACGTGAAAAAGTGAAGTAAGGTTGACGGTCACCAACGAATTTTAGCAAAAAAAAAAA